AAGTCGGGTATTACTATCTCTAGGTTTAACCCTTTAATTGGGGCTATCAATCTCTTGAATACACCCCAACTCCTTGTTGGCGTGAATTTCCTAGACTTAAGCTCTCTTTCTCAAGAAGAGTCTATGTCAAAAAAGCACGAATTAGGGTTTGCAACCACTAATTCAACATAGAAAGCATAAATCAGGCCAAATAAACATATAAGTCCTACAATAAAAGACCCATTAAATACCCACACTAGGGTTGAGCCACAACCCTAGCTAATGGGTTTAGCTACTCATAATTGAAGAAGAAATCATACATTGAGATGAAAAATAACCCATAAAATATAATTACAAGATAAGATTCTAAGATTAATTGCTAAACTAGCTACATAATTACTCAAAATAGGTATAAGTCGCCGTTCACGTGCTCACTACTGAAAAGATCACCTAAAAATCTAAAAAAGTAGTATTTATACACAGCCAAATTTTTCGGACAATAGTGCCCCTGACGGGGGTACTGCTGACAGCGAAAAATGGACCGCTGCAGCGGTGAGGCTACCGCGGCCGCGGTCTTCAGCTTTAGCTCAGACTCCAGGCTCTCTGAATCTCTTCTCCACGGACCGCGGTAAAACGACCGTTGTCGCGGTAGGGGTACCGCGGTCGCATAAAATCACCCGGACCGCGGTAACTTGCAATGCCTCAAATTGTATCTCTTTGAACCTTACCACCGCGGAGCACGATAAAAGGACCGCGGTCGCGGTGGGTCTTCTGCGGCCGCGGTGGATTTTCCGTTGTAGCGCTGCTTTGACTTGACTTTGAACTTGTGCATGTTTCACTCCTTTTTGAGCTAGTTATGACATCCTTGTCTCCTTTTGACCAAACATCGCAAACAAGCACAACAAGTTAGCTTTTGAGAATACTTATACACATTTTAGTCCAAAACTCAAGCAAAAAGGAGCATAAAATAGACTAGAATCCCTAGTTATTATGAATCACCCTCCAATCCAAATCTAATGAACTTGAATTTCCAAAATTCCACAACCGATGCCGAAACCAACCAAACCATGTCCGATTGACCCCAAATTTTGCTCAAAAGTCATATTCAACACTACGGACCTACTCCAACTTCCAGAATCGGATTCCGACCCTTATATAAAAAATTCCACTATCGGCCCGAAACTCTAAAAATTCAACTTTCGCCATTTCAACCCTAAAGGAGCTACAGACCTCAAAAACACAATCCGGACATGCCCCTAAGCCCAAAATCACCCAACGGAGCTAACGGAATTAAAGAAATTCTATTCCGGAGCCGTTTTCACACTATTCCGACTACGGCCCAAATTCTAAGACTTAAGCTCTCATTTAGGGACTAAGTATCCCAACACACTCCGAAACTCAACATGAACCATCCCGGCAAATCACAATAGCAGAAAAAGACACCGAGAAAGCAGTTAACAGGGGATCGGGGCATTAATTCTCAAAACGACCGGCCGGATCGTTACATCCTCCCCCTCTTAAAACATTCGTTCGTCCTCGAACGAGCATTGAGACATACCTGAAGTGGTGAAAAGATGAGGATAACGGCTGTGCATATCTTGCTCGGTCTCCCAAGTTGCCTCCTCGACCGACTGACCCCTCCACCGGACCTTTACTGAAGCAATATTCTTTGACCTGAGCTTCCTGACCTACATGTCTAAAATGGCTACTGGCTCCTCAACATAAGATAGATCCTTGTCCAACTGGACTAATCTGAAATCCAATACATGAGTTGGATCACCATGATACTTCCAGAGCATGGAAACATGGAATACCGGATGAACTCTTGCTAGGCTGGGAGGCAAGGCAAGCTTTATAAGCAACCTCCCCAATACGCTTCAGTACCTCAAAAGGACCAATAAACGTCGGGCTTAGCTTGCCCGTCTTTCCGAATCTCATGACGCCCTTCATAGGTGATACCCGCTGCAAGACCCGCTCTCCAACCAGAAATGCCAAATCGCGAACCTTCCGGTCTGCATAACTCTTCTGCCTGGACTGGGCTGTGCGAAGTCTCTTCTGAATCACCTTCACCTTATCCAGGGCATCCTGGACCAAATCTGTACCCAACAATTGGGCCTCGCCCGGCTCAAACCATCCTACCGGGGACCGGCACCGCCTACCATACAAAGCCTCGTACGGTGCCATCTGAATGCTGGACTGGTAAATGTTGCAATAGGCAAACTCTGCAAGAGGCAAGAATTGGTCCCATGACCCTCCGAACTCCATCACACAACCACAGAGAATATCCTTAAAATTTGAACCGTGCGCCCGGACTGCCCGTCCTTTTGAGGGTGAAAGGCTGTGCTCAGATCCACCCTAGTACCCAACTCTTGTTGTACGGCTCTCCAGAACCGTGATGTGAATTGAGTACCTCTGTCTGAAATGATGGATACTGGAATACCATGAAGGCGGACGATCTCCCTGATATAAATCTCAGCCAATCTCTCGAACGAGTACATAGTCAACAATGGAATAAAATGAGCTGACTTGGTCAGCCGATACACGATCACCCAAATAGCATCATACTTCCTCAAAGTCCACGGAAGTCCAACCACAAAGTCCATGGTGATCCGCTCCTACTTCCACTCTGGGATCTCTAACCTCTGCAGCAATCCACCCGATCTCTGATGCTCATACTTAACCTGCTGGCAGTTGAGACACTTGGCCACAAACCCAACTATGTCCTTCTTCATCCTCCTCCACCAATAGTGTTGCCTCAAATCCTGGTACATCTTTGCGGCACCCGGATGAATGGAGTACCGCGAGCTGTGAGCCTCCTCAAGAATCAACTCCCGAAGCCCATCAACATTGGGCACACAGATCCGGCCCTGCATCCTCATCTCGCCATCATCACCAATAGTCACATCTCTAGCATCACCTCGGCGAACCCTGTCTTGAAGAACTAGAAGGTGGGGATCATCATACTGGCGCTCCCTGATACGGTCATAAAGAAAACACCGAGTAACCATACAAACTGATACCCAGCTAGGATCTGAAATATCCAATCTCACGAACTGACTAGCTAAGGCCTGAACATCCAAGGCTAAGGGCCTCTCAGCTGCCGGAAGATATGCCAAAATTCCCAAACTCTCCGCCCGGCAATTCAAGGCATCGGTCACTACATTGGCCTTCCTCGGGTGGTACAATATAGTGATGTCATAGTCTTTATGTAGCTCCAACCACCTCCGCTGACGCAAATTAAGGTCCTTCTGCTTGAACAAGTGCTACAAGCTCTAGTGATCGGTGTAGATCTCACAAGGAACGCCATACAAATAATGACGCCAGATCTTCAAGGCGTGAACAATAACTGCTAACTCGAGATCATGAACAGGATAATACTACTCATGCACCTTCAATTGTCTAGACGCGTAGGCAATTATCCTACCGTCCTACATCAATACCGCTCCAAGGCCATCCTTGAGGCATCACAATAGACAGTGTAAGACCCCAAACTTGTAGGCAATACTAATACTGGGGCTGTAGTCAAAGCTGTCTTGAGCTTCTGAAAGCTCTCCTTACACTCCTCGGTCCACCTAACGGAGCATCCTTCTAGCTCAGTCTAGTCATAGGTGTTGAAATAGATGAAAATCCCTCTACAAAGCAACGGTGGTATCTCTCCAACCCAAGGAAACTGCGGATCTCCGTAGCTGATGGCAGTCTAGGCCAACTCTGCACTGTCTCTACCTTCTTCGGATCTACCTTGCTCACAACACAAGACACTACGTGGCCCAAGAATGCCACTGAATCCAACCAGAACTCACATTTCGAGAACTTCACATATAATTTCTTTTCTCTCAAGGTCTGAACCACTGTCCTCAGGTGTTGCTCATCATCTTCCCGACTCCGGGAGTACCCAGAATGTCATGAATAAAGACATTGACGAACGAGTCAAGATATGGCCGGAATACACTGTGCATCAAATGCATAAATGTTGTTGGGGCATTGGTCAGCCCAAATGACATAACAAGGAACTCGTAATGACCATACCGAGTCCTGAAGGAAGTCTTCGGGATATCTGGCTCCGTAATCTTCAACGGATGATAACCTGAATGCAAGTTAATCTTAGAAAACACTCGAGCACCCTGTAACTGATCAAACAGGTCATCAATACGAAGCAACGGATACCAGTTCTTCACTGTAACTTTGTTAAACTGGCGATAATCAATGCACATACGCATAGAACCATCCTTTTTCTTCACGAACAAGACAGGAGCACCCCAAGGTGACACACTCGGCCGAATAAAACCCTTATCAAGCAATTCCTGTAGCAGTTCCTTCAACTCCTTCAACTCAGGAGGGGCCATACGATAAGGAGGAATAGAGATGGACTGAGTGCCCGGCAACAAATCAATGCCATAATCAATATCTCTGTCGGGCGGCATGCCCGGAAGATCAGCTGGGGACACATTAGGAAAATCCCGTACTACTAGAACTGATTCAACTGTAGGGGTATCAATACTAACATCTCACACATAAGCTAGATACGTGTCACACCCCTTCTCAACCATTTACTGAGCTTTGAGAAATGAGATAACTCTACTGGGAGTGTAATCTAAAGTACCCCTCCACTCTACTCGCGGTGAACCCGGCATAGCCAGCGTCACAGTCTTGGCGTGACAATCAAGAATAGCATAATGGGGCGACAACCAATCCATGCTCATGATAACATCAAAATCTACCATGATGAGTGATAATAAATCTTCTCTGGTCTCAAAACCACTAAGAGTAATCAAACACGATCGATAAATGCGATCCAAAACAAGAGAATCTCCCACAGGAGTGGAAACATAAATAGGGGAGCTCAAAGAATCCCGAGATATCCCTAAATGTGGAGCAAAATAAGTAGACGCATATGAATACGTAGAGCCTGGGTCAAATAATAGTGATGCATCCCTATGACAGATAGGGACGATACCTGTGATGACTGAGTTTGAAGCGACGACCTCTTTACGGGCTGGAAGGGCATAGTATCTGGCCTGGCCTCACCCTCTAGGGTGACCTCGACCTCCCCGACCTGTACCTCGAGCTGCCTGAGGAGGTGGAGCGGCAACTAGGGCTGGGAGAATGACCGGAGGACCCGATGGAGCACGTGGAGGCTGATAAGTCTGTGGAGGTGCGCCCTTCCTGGCTTTGGGACAATCCGGAACCATGTGACGGGTGTCACCATACTCAAAGTAATCCCTTGGAGGACGCGGTGGCTGAGACTGACTCGGACCTGGCCTGCTGGTCTGGCCGGTAATAGCACCTCGAGCAGGAGGCATACTGGCTACTGGCGGTGCATAATAGGGCTCCTGAGGTCTAGGAGGAGCTGGAACACCACTGGCTGCTGGCAGAGCTGAATAAACAGGGCGACTTACAAAACCCCTACCATAGCGTGCTGCTGGTGCACGAGCTCCTGAACAGTGACCAGTCTCTCGAGACCTCTTGGCCTCTCTCTCCTCTCTGTCCCGGGCAAGCATGCCCTCCACTCTCCTGGCAATACTCACTGTCCGCTGATAAGAAATGTCCATCTCCAACTCCCTAGCCATACTGGTCCGAATACTTGGGTGGAGTCCCTCGATGAAGCGACGAACCCTCTCTTTGACGGTGGCAAACAAAGCTGGTGCATGACGAGTTAACTCACTGAAACGGACTAGTACTCAAACAGAGTCATAGCACCCTGGCGCAGCTGCTCAAACTCTGCGCGCCAAGCATCTCTGAGGCTCTGAGGGACATACTCACGCAAAAACATCTCTGAAAACTGAGTCCAAGTGAGTGAGGCCGACTCGTCCGGACTACCCAACTCATAGGCACGCCACCACTGATATGTCGTTCCCCTCAGCTGGAAGGCAGTGAAAGAAACCCCACTCATCTCCACAATGCCCATAGTGCGGAGAATACGATGACACTCCTCAAGAAAACCAGAGCGTCATTTGAAGCTAGTCCGCTGAAGGTAGGTGGGTGGTACTTCTTGTACCTCTCAAGTCTGAGCTGATCTGCCTCAGAAGCAACTACCCTAGTCTCATGCTGAACCGGAGCCACTAGGGGCATAGGAATATACTCTAGGGCCTGATCAACCTGAACCCTATGCTCAGGAGTGCGGGCTGCGGGAGTCTGTGCCCCTCCTCCGACCTGAGATGTTGCGGGAGCTATCGGAAGTAGTACAACCTGAGATAAAGTGCTGAACATGCTCATGAACTGAGCTAATGTCTCCTGGGGGGCTGGAGTAGCAATAGGAATCTCCGGTGTCGGCCCTCCAGCTGGAGCTGCTGGGGGCTCCTCAGTCGTAGCTCTCGTAGGTGCTCGGGTTGCACCGTATGGTCATCCTCTACCCCGACCCGGCCTCTGGCAGCTATGGTAGTGGGCTTGGGTGCCTGGTCGTCAGTCCTGCCGGTACAGATCCTCACAATCTGTGAGAAAGAATAGAATAGAATTTTATGATTTTTGATGTTAATAACTCGCACGACAAGGAAATCAAAGAAGTATGATTATTCTTAACAGTTACATAGCCTCCCGAAGATAAGTACGGACGTCTCCGCATCGATCCGCGAGACTCTAATAAACCGGCTAGTGACTGACGACTCCTATGAACCTAGAGCTCTGATACCAACTTGTCACGACCCAATTTAACCCCCCCCCCCCCCCCCCCTCCGAAGATGTCGTGACGGCACCTAGTCTTTACGACTAGGTAAACCTAATATTATGGAAAAATTTAAAGAAAACACTACTATAAAAATTAAAACAGCATATCGTAAATAACAAGGATAGAGCCTCCCGGCATATACAAAATAATCTCCCAAGAACTGGAATATCGCTAAGTCACAAGCTTCTATAATCTATGTAGCTCTATACAAAAGTCTGAAGATAAATAAAAAGAAATCTGAAGGAGGGAATAGAAGGGGATTCCGAGGATATGTGGACGCGGGCAGAAATACCTTGAAGTCTCCTGGAATCAGCAAGCACGCACTAACCTCGAGGCTGATAGCTCATACCTGGATCTACACACGAAAACGTGTGCAGGAAAGGGCATGAGTACACCACAATGGTACCAGTAAGTGCCAAGCCTAACCTCGGTCAAGTAGTGACGAGGTCAGTTCAGGGCCCTACCGGAGTATATACATATAACAAATTAAGCAGTAAAAGGTAAATAGAGATTACGGTGAAACAATTAAAGAAATTACATAATTTTAACAGTTAAGGGAGCCCTCAACTCAGAACAATTTAAACACAACAGGAAAGTCTCCCGGGATACCGTCCTGTAGGCTCCGAAATGATTATGCAGTACAGGGGGATCTCTCGGAATACGTCCATAGTCCCAAAATAAATATGCAGTGCTGAGGGATCTCCCAGAATACATCCGTAGTCCCAATATAAAAATGCAGCGCTGGGGGATCTCCCGAAATACGTCCGTAGTACCAAAATAAATATACAAGACAGGGGGATCTCCCGGAATATGTCCGTAGTCCCAAAGTAATATGCAGCTCAAGAAAAAAATGGCAGGTACGGTATCAAATTATACAGTTTGGACTAAACACAAACGAGGGAAAGAGCGGTCTACCTAAGCATGTTGCACATAAATTAAATAAGCAGTTAAAAACACGTAGGCATGCTTTCCTAATCTAATCACAGTAATTAAACATAGTAGTGCAATCTAATAAGGGCAAACAGTTTATGATTAAGGAGGAAAAACGGGATTTTTGAAACAATAACCCGTGTATGTACTCGTCACCTCATGTACACGGCACTCACACATCAAATAATACCAAACATCCTAAAGGGAAAGTTCCCCAACACAAGGTTAGGCAATCCACTTACCCCGAACCGCTCAAATCAACGCGATATCATGCTCTTGCCACGAGTATCCGACTCCTAATGGCCCAAATCTAATCAAACCAATTGCATAATGTAAATACAACTACAAGTAACTAATTTAACTAATGAAATCAAGCTAGGGTAAGAAAATAGGAAAAACACCCATAAATCCTCCCCGGGCCCACGTCTCGGAATCGGGTAAAAATCATAAATTATGAACACCCATTCACTCACGAGATCACTCGTCCAAAAATTATTGAATTCCGACGCCTAAAACCCGATCAAAACCCAAAAATTCGATTGGGGAACTTTTCCCCCAAATTCTCATTTCTTCCACACAAATTCCTTGATTAGATGGAGAAAATTACTATATATTGATGAAATATAAGCAAAATAGGGTTAAGAATCGTTACCCACTGATTTTCTCTGCAAAATCCTCACAAAATCGCCTACTCCTGAGCTCCAAAAGTCTCAAAATTGAAAATGGGATAAAACCCTCGACTTGGCCCTTTTTCTGCCAGGGATCTCGCTTCTGCGAGAGGGCTACCGCATCTACGGTCCCGCACCTGCGGAAAAATCATCGCAGGTACGGAAGTCACTTAACCGGGCTGGGGCCGCATCTGCGGTCACAGGGCCGCATCTGCGGTCCCCCAGCCGCACCTGCGGTTCCTAATGCCTTGGTGCATTTTCGCTTCTGCGACAACCCAGCCGCTTCTGCGGCACCGCACTTGCGGTCCCACATCCGTAGGTGCGATTATATAGGGTTCAACAACTTCAGAAATTTGCCTAAGTCCAAATCAAGTCCGTTAAGCATCCGAAACTCACCTGAGGCCCCCGGGACCTCAACCAAACATACCAACCAATCCTAAAACATCATACGAACTTAGTTGAGGCCACAAATCCCTTCAAATAATTCTAAAACCATGAATCACCCTCTAATCTAAACCTAATGAACTTGAACTTCCAAAATTCTATAATCGATGTCGAAACCAACCAAACCATGTCCGATTGACCCCAAGTTTTGCACACAAGTCATATTCAACACTACGAACCTACTCCAACTTCCAGAGTCGGATTCCGACCCCTATATGAAAAATTCTTCTATCGGCCCGAAACTCCAAAAATTCAACTTTCGCTATTTCTAGCCTAAATGAGCTATAGACCTCAAAAAACACAATTTGGACACGCCCCTAAGCCCAAAATCACCCAACGGAGCTAACGGAATCGATGGAATTCCATTTCGGAGCCGTCTTCGCACTGTTCCGACTACGACCCAAATTCTAAGACTTAAGCTCTCATTTAGGGACTAAGTGTCCCAACACACTCAGAAACTCAACATGAACCATCTCGGCAAATCACAATAGCAGAAAAAGACACGGGGAAAGCAGTTGGGGATCGGGGCGTTAATTCTCAAAACGGCCGGCCGGGTCGTTACACCAACGATGAAAGAAACACGCCGAAACTCATAACCATTCATCAGATCAACAAGTTGTGGAACTCCCTCTCCTTCGATAGGAACTATAGCAAATTTCTAAGTCGATCAGCATCAATATCCTTCCAAATATACCGCAATCAGATACGACAACACCCATTCTAGGTACGATGACCTCATCCCATCTACATAATACTCTAGTGACATGACACATGAATACAGCTTAAAGCCAGAACCCGAGCACCAAATAGCAACGTTCCAAATGTACTCAATCCTGAAGATGCCTCAAACGAGAGGACTGTCCCGCCAGCTTACAAGTACCATTACAACACCATGCTAAGAGACTAGCACACCGTAGAACCAAAACACACGAATCCAACACAAAGGGTCATACCTCTATATAACTCCGCTACAATGCGTGACCCCATCCAAACGCTGGTCTATATTATATACCTCGAGCCACACTGCTCAAAATCCATAACCACTCGAAATTCGACATCAAGTACCCAAGGTGCATTACCATAACCACAGAGAGCAATTAACACAATGCCACCATCCGGAAAGAACATAGCCAACGCGCAATCAATCACGCAATACCCAAATACTCATCTTGCTCAAATTTTCGCTATAACGCCCAAATAGAACTGCACCATCTGTGCATATAACCAACGAATAACAACTCTTCGTAAGATAGAAGGGTAAATCACAAATTGTTTTAGAACACGAATAAGCTCAACAGCAATCGAATGGCACACCCCTCAACAATAGCAGTATGGAGCCAACCAACGGACCCCTACACAACTCTAGCCGTCCAAAAATAGATAAATAACCCTCCGAAAGTCCACAATGACTGAATCATAACATATACTATCATTTGGCCAGCTTCGGCCACAACTTCATAGTCCACAACCATGAAACAATCTGCTCATGAGAACTCCCAGTCTCCAAATCCATAGAACACACGAATCACCATATTTGATCCGAACTCCACCACCCTGATATCTAACACATCTCTCATACACGATCACCCCACGAGGAATACTTCTATAGTTCTTCCGTGCCACATAGAAAAATTTAAATATCGAGAGTCGATCAACTAGGAGAGTGCCACAATACCAATGAAGTATCCATAAATCAAAACACATTGCCCCTTCTGAAAAGTATACTCTCATCAAGCCATACCAAATAGTAATGTCATTTACCTAGTCATTTGAAACTGTCCATGCTGCCTAAGAATTTATGTTTTCCCTTTCAACATTGAACCATGACCTTACACATGCAAATCTCAACCCTACACAACACACCGCACATACTATGCCATCATACGAAAAATATGAGAACTTCGTAATCCACTCCGAGTCACAAGTAATTGCATACTTAATTGAAAGAATTACACGAAAATACACATGACTTCACATCATAACAATAAATGGCCCATGTTTTTAAGCTTTACCCGACCTAGCCCATATTGTACATATTTTGAAAACACTAGCTCTTGCAAATTCAAAATATGTGTTCTTACAATTATTGCTTCTAAAATCTATGGAGTTAAATTTGTGTTCTCACAACTATTGCTTTCACTCTCTCTTCTTCTCACATCTTTTACATATGCTAGGGCTCGTTTGCCATTACTGCTTCTCCCTCTATGTCACCTGGTTGCAATATAAAAAAAATAAAGAGTAGAAGTCTACCATTGAAGGGCATTCAAAGCTTTGCTTTCGAAAATAAATTTTTTTGAGTTTGTTAATTGTTTGGATTGGGTGTTGTTCCAATTGATTAAAAATATCAAAAAGATTTCAAAATTTAAATTTGAAGTGATTTGGAGTAGATTTAAGCAAGATTTCAGTTAAATTTCAGAAAAGACGCAAGGAAGAAGACGAAGTCAGTTTTTTGTATAGTTATATATAATCTTGTATAATAGTATATATGAGTGTATAAACACATCTTATACACTATTATACACTTTTATACAAGCGTCTGTAGACAACTTCTTCCACGATTTTCAGTTGCAATTCTTGTTCAAAACCAGTCCAGTTCTCCATTAAATGACTTCAAATCTTATATACAACCTCCTTATTACTATTTCTAACAAGTTTAAATAACACCCACTCCAAATTTCTCACAAAATCAAATTCGGAATTTAAGCCCACATATTTAAGCTTGTTAAAAATCTAATTTTCACCACCTAAATGGATTTGGATTGTTCAACTAATATTTGAGTCACACTTACTGATTCGAAAATTAACTTCAAAGCTTGAGCAATCTTTTTTAGAAATTAAATAGTAATTTTGAGAACCTATTGGAGTTGGATGTTGAATCTTAACCTATTATTTTTGGGCTAGTTGGTTGTAAATTGAAATATGGGCTATAAAACTGAAAAGTAGGGAGCCCAGTTGTTCTTATGTGAAATTTTCCTACTAAATTAGCCAAGAACATTCCATTTGATCCCATCCAGGAGAAAATCACTATACATCACACGCTCCCCACGCCAGTAGGAAATATACATCTCTAACTGTGGTAGAAAACATCAAGAACTCTCTGAATCCCATTTGCGCAAAACCAAACCATCAGGACTGAATCCCTCTAACTCAACCAAGATACGCAGGTCGTCAAAACCCAAGAGTATCGCCACAAAACGCCTGTAGAAACTCACTACATCATAAGAACCAAAAGAACCGATCATATCCATTAATGTGCAGGTCCAACCTACTACCAACTTGTCCTAATTCTCCGAGTTCCTTCTGAATTACCTTCAAATTGATACTTCTCCTTGCCATAATACCACAATCCCCAACCAAGACTCGCCATACGAGACCCAAGCATAAAACCAAACCGCCTTGAGGCTCATAAGCCGCTGAATTCTCTTTTAAGCACCACAAAAGTACCACAACCGAGATACCCACTCTGAAGAGGCCTTCTGTGAATTTAAAGCTGTTCATTTTACCTTCCTGATACTGAATGTAAAATCCATAATGATATAGAAATACTGTGAGTTTCCACACCCTCCAATGAAAATCTCAAATTCTAGCCCTATACAAATTTGCAAAATCCTCAATACCACATATAAACCTTGAATTCATTAGAACCATTCTCGAGGGTCATCTACTTTACTCGAATCTCAATAGCACCGCCCAAACGGACTGAACGACCAATGCCCCATTTGCACAACAACAACCAAGGAAGTAATCCACACTTCTAAGCAGCCAAGTGAATCCCTACTCCATGCACGCTACATCCTTCGCAATTAACAACTCAATCATCCAATGCTTTGCATCCTCCCACTGCAATATACAACCCGAATCTAGAAATTTCCTTACTCGAGTCATCCCCGATCTCAACCTTTGTAAGCCATAACTGATTCATCAGTATACCTCAAACTGAAACCAATACAACACACAACCGGGCAATCAACTTATCAATAGCAGACTCCCCCACTTGGCTCAAAGCCAAGGAATAAAGCATCTGATAACTTACAATAGCCACCCCCATACTGGCATAACACCGCAATAGGATTCAAATAAATCCTTCCTAAGCTCATGTAACACAAATCATATAATACCTCAAATCATTTGGAAATCTCGTATTCATCCTCGTAACAGTCAAGCCAACTTTCACAAGCGATACAAACTCAAATAGCACTACATATAATTCACTGGTAAAAGAGAACTCTCAACAAAACAACATAGGGATCACACAACCTCAGGACATCCCGCAGGAGATAACCCACCTACTTAGCCTCAAACTAACATCTCTTTATACCCTTCCACAGTCATAAACTTTACGCAATAACTTAATCTTCCTGAGTCTGAACTCATATCACAACATGAAAATATACTTCACTTCACAATTAAACAACATGAAAAGGATCCTTCAGCACACCCATAACTCGAGACTATATGTCAAATCAGGATGGAAATCAAGTACCAAATTGTTCCTTCTACACCTCAAGCAAACCCCTCTCGTCAGATTCAAGTCATATGAACACATCTTGCAGTCACATCATACTCATCACGTAGCCATCCGACCACAATTTCTACTAATAGGGATACTACCGGACATATAAGTCCAAAAGCACGTGCTCACACAATTAACACCCCTATGCCAAAGCTACAGTCAAAACCCGGCCTCAAGTCCTCCAGACTGGCCCATCATCAACACACAAAAATCATATCTCGCACCTCATCTAGAGAATCACAAGCCGTCGATGCATAGCTGATACCGAGCGCACATGTGCGCCTACGAATGCATGGAAGGAATTCAATGAGTTATGCTTCAAGATGAATCAATGCCGCACGATAAGGAAAGAAAGATGGGAAGTATATCCTAAATGTCCTGTAGCCTTTCGAAGATAGGTATAGACGTCATCATACCGATCCGCAAGACTCTACTAGACACTTGCTCATGACTTGTAGAACCTATGAACCTAGAGCTCTGATACCAATCTATCACGGTCCAAAACGCATTAGTCGTGATGGAACCTAACCCAACCCACTAGGTAAGCCAACTAATAACTATCCAACCTCAATAATGTTAATAAGTCAATTAAACATAAATAAATTATCTGGATCTATTACATTTCCCAAGGACTGGTAGTACAAATCATGAGCTGCTAAGAGTAGAATTTACAAAAGCTTATATGAAGAAAATACATCTTCTGTTTGAAAAGTACATAAACAGAGCTTTATAATCTAAGGCTACCGTGAACAAGAGGTAGCTGCAGCAGGAACGCAGGTACACCTTCAAATCTAGCAACCATCGAACACAGCAACATCGGCATCCGGGATCTGCACGCAATGTGCATGAAGTGTAGTATAAGTACAACCGACCTCATGTACTCAAAAAGTAACAAACCTAACAATTGATTGAAAGTAGTGACGAGCTGGAACATAGGTTGGGTCCAACACCAATAACCAATAGCAGTTCATACAACATAGAGCATATATATAAGGAAATAATCTCAGAGATAAAAATGTTCAGCTTTTGCACAGTTTATCCAAAAATAGTTCCTCTTTTCAAGAATATTAGTGAAAACCCAAATCCTTTATCGAAATCATCAAAAAATTATGAGATAGTTTGAAAACTGTAATTTTCTTGAAAAATCCTTTCCACAATAAATAATAAAAAAAAATGTTTCATTTCCTTTCCAAATAACAAGTGTGAAATACCACTCTATGCCCACATATCAATGTGTGTAAAAAGTCATGAATGATGTGATACCGTACAACATGAGGAAAATGCGTCTCTATGCATATATGCCATATACGCATGCCAATGCCATGTATCTGAGAGATGAGTCATGTACTCACACTCTCAGAGTACTCAACCTCACTGTATCACGCTTTCCACTCATCATAATCAACCACTCGGTACTGTATATGGCCCATACGGCCCAGAAAAATCCATACCGAAACATATACAACACTGACTATAAGTCACCCAGTACCAAGGAAAAAAGGCAATCCAACCCTGTGGAGAAATCCATCTCCAGATATCAAATACTTCGGACAAATCCATGTCCAGGGAAATCCATCCCTCAATAATATCATCCACGCTCACTGGGGGCGTGTTACAGACTCCGGAGGGGCTCCTTCAGCCCAAGCGCTATCATAATCATCAATATAACGGCGTGCAACCCGATCACATAACTATCACTCATAATCAGGCTCTCGGCCTCACTCAGTCATCAATCTCTCCAGTCTCACTCGCGGGCTTACAATGTCATGAAAACTGACCCGGAATAATGATATGATGTATCAATAAGTAACAACTGAGACTGAGATATGATATGAATGCATGAATGTGACTGAGTACGAATGTCAATGAAATCAATGAGGTGACAACAAGAAACGATCGCTAGGGGTCCCAATAATATCAGCATAAAGTCTAAACATGATATCTAGCATGATGTAAAGCTCATTATCACATGGTGAAAAACACAAATATCAACAAAGTGGGCCACTAAACAGTGCCCTGGAAACAACAGAGTCACAACTCACAGGGTGCACGCCTACACGCCCGTCACCTAGCATGTGTATCACCTCAACACCAATCACATAGCAGATAATTCGGGGTTTTATATCCTCAACACTAAGTTTAGAAGAGTTACTTATCTTAAACAAGCCAATTCCAGACGCCGAGCAAACCAAGCGATGCTCCAAGAATGCCATTACGCGTGTAGCGACCTCCGAACGGCTCAAAACTATTTAATAACAACTCAAATACATTAGATGAAGACCAAGGAAACAATTACAAATGATAAAGATCGAATCCTAATTCAAATCCCAAATCCAGCCAAAAATCACACTCGGGCCCGCACCTCAAAACCCGAAAAAACTCGCAAAATTTGACAACCCATTCAATTACAAGTCCAACCATACTAGTTTCACTCAATTCCGACTCCAATTCGATGTTCAAAACTCAAAAATTCATATTATGAAACTTTAGGCCAAAACCCCCAATTTTCTCTTTCAATTCATTAACCAAAAGCTAAAATCGAAGATAGATTCATGAAATATAACCAAAATCGAGTGTAGAACACTTACCCCAATCCTTGTGATGAAAATTGTTCCAAAAATCGCCCCAATCCGCACTTGGAAATGTAAAAATGAAGCCAAAATTGCGAACCCTTGTATTTAACATTCTGCCCAGCACTTTCGCATTTGCGAACACATTAGCCGCTTCTGCGGCGTCGCTTCTGCGACATAACCTCCGCTTCTACGAAATCAACCGAGGCCTCGACCCTTGCACCTGCGAACAACATACCCGCTTCTGCGACATCGCAGGTGCGAGCCACTATCTGCACCTGCGGAAAAAACCTGTCTCCTACGCTCCATCACTTCGCACCTACGCATCCGCGTGTGCGCCCAAATCTCCGCTTCTGCGGTCTTCCTCAGCCAACACTATTTTCGCTCATACGACCACTTCGTCGCTTCTGCGACCACCACCTGCGCATACCAACCGTAGGTGCGATCACACTAGAACCAGCAATAGAAACATTGAAGAAAATGATCTAAAATCAATCTTAAACACGCCCGAGTCCCTCGGGACCCCGTTCAAACATATCAACAAGTCACATAACATATACTCGAGGCCTCAAAACACGCATAACAACATCGAAACGATGAATCACACCTCAATTCGAAATTATTGAACTTTGAAACCCCAATTCCACAACCGATGCCGAAACCTTTCAAATCACGTCCGATTGACCTCAAATTTTGCACACAAGTCACATTTGACATTTCGGACCTGCTCCAACTTCCAGAATCGAAATCCGACCCCGATATTAGAAAGTTCACTCCCGGTCAAACTTTCCAAACTCCCAACTTTCGTCATTTCAAGCCAAATTTCACTACGGACCTCCAAATCACGATCCGGACGCGCTCCTAAGTCCAAAATAACCCAAACGAGCTAACAGAACCATCAGAAATCCAATCCGAGGTCAAATACTAAAAGTCAAAACTTGGTCAAACATTCAAATTTAAAGCTTCTAGCTGAGAATCATTCCTCCAAATCAAGTCTGAATAACCTAAAAGCCAAAATCGATGATTCACATAAGTCATAACACATCATACAGAGCTACTCATGCCCTCAAACAACCGAGCGAAGTGCAAATGCTCAAAACGACCGGTTGGGTCGTTACAGAAATAGGTGATTTTTATGTTTGAATTTAATTTTTATTTTTATTTT